AGAGTGAGAGAAAGAGAATATGAGCTACAGATTGGGTCATGGTTGATCTGCCAAGATAAAACTCATTTGTTCAGCAGAATTGCCCAGGAGGGGGAGGTAGTTAGTTGACTAAGTTCGACGGTCCAAAGTTTGACCTTGTTGTCCTCCACTTGATCTTTCTTATTCTTCTTTTTTTCTTTTTTTTTCATATATCATTTGAAAACATTTGTATTATTAGTTGATTAGTCAGGACTTGTTAACCCATGTGATAATTCCCTTCAGCATATGATGGGGCTGAGAGGCTTTACAACTTTCTTCAGCTTCATCTCTCAAGCTCAACGTTCTCGCTTTACATTTGACTGGATTTCTGTCTTTTGCTGCTTTTCTATCTTTCATATTTATGTCACTTCTGGGATTTTCTCAAACTTTTCATTTTTCAAAAAATTTTTTTATTTAATTTTCAGATGCGTTCGTTCATCCTTTGCAGTCTGCTCTTCGTGTCCGTCCTCGCATTCCATTTACAGAAAAATGAATTCCTCGATGAAGAATATGTAGGAGTTGCATGTTCTTGATGAGTAACTTCCGGCTTTTTGTTTTTCAGTTAACTCGAAGCGTCCGTTCAGCTGATGATAGCAGCAGCTCTTCTGAAGAGAAATCTGAAAAAACTCAACCTGAAGGATCAAAGGTGAGTAAGAGATCACGTCTGTTAATAACCACGGCTTACAGGTGGAAGGAGAGAAAAGCGTAGAAGCCTCTGGAGATAAAGAAGATGGAAAGCAAGAAGAAGAAGATGATGATAACGAAGGATCTGGTGCTCGTTTTGTCCGTGATGCCGAAGAAGGATCCGGAGACAAGAGTAACTCATCAGAAGAAAATGAGGAGGAGGAATCTTCTGGTGAAAGATTTGCTCGTGAAGTAGAAGTAACCGAAGGATCAGGAGAAGTCTGTTCATAACCAGCTGTTTGTTTACGAAATCATGTGATTTAGGAAGTCACATCGCAGAAGGTGTCTGTAGTCGATGAAGACGGCTCAGGCGAAGGGGCTGATGAGACATTCTTCAAGGAACCACCAACTTTCTTCTAAAATCAACACCACGTTGGATGAGAAGAACAAAAACTTAAATGTAATTTAATTAATTGATTGTTAATCTTGCTTTTAACCCGTCTCCCGTATCTTACTATCTCTCTCACTCTCTCTCTTTCTCGTCTATGCCTGTCTCCTTTCTCTCTTGGAACTCTCTTTGGTGTGTCTTTCAAATTGAAAGCCTCCAGAAAATAATGTTTTGTTGTACTGTGAGAAAGCATGTAACCTAAGGTCCTTAAAGGAATATTTGCTCAATGTATTTAAAAGGAAAGAAGAAGA